CAGGCGTGGGACAATCGGTCAGTCAGCGGTTTCGTTCGTAGTGGTAGCTGGTGGCCATTTTGTAGATCATGGTGGATCTTCATGGACTGCGGTACATGTAGAGAGGTCCGTCAGTCATGCCGTAAGTTACATTAGTCGAAAGAGTAGTCGATCTCTCCTCATATATCAGTGAAAGACAGATTTCAGTTTAGATTATAATCATCATAAAAGGTGTTATTTATAAAATGCTCAAGCTTTCGTAGATGTTTAGTGAACCGAATTGAACAGTTAGCGTGCGACCATTTCGAATTACAGGAGTACGCTTCTAACTCTGCTTGCTTGGACGAATGGAACTTGGAAATACCCTGTGACAGGCAGCTTTATTTTGTACACGGTTCCGACTGTTATGCCATATTTTAAGAAAGTTACGGAGGTAAGCCCAGCAGATTTAGGAAAAATTAGGTTGCCTAACAAGGGGGTTTAGCGGCCCGAGGTCGAAAGACAGCTAAGAAAAGTCCTAGCGTCTCGTGCGAATGGACGGCTTCCTCAGATTGACTCGTTGCTTCTACAGTTAACCGGAACGGTTTTAGCCGGGTGCGGCACCATGGCAAGCTTCCTGTCATGCTTTGACGCATGACTGAACCGCGGTGTTTGACTGAAGAACTCCTGAAGAATTTTTGTGAAGGTTTTTCAATACTGAGAAATGCCCACGATATTTTTGTTTAGCTAGCAAGCGCTTCTGCTATCACGGAGAAGCAACACAGGTGCATATCTCTGCCCTATTCCGTATTATCTCATCCTACCCTGTCTTTGTCATATTTTGAAGTTCAGCTATTCAACCGTATCAAACCTATCTTTGCTGTAAACAAAAAATGCAATCGATACTTTTTCTTATGTAAACATGGAATAATTTTAAAATTAAGTCCAGCTTGATCCTGTTTTGTAACGGTGATAAATGGTCATCTGGTAATGCCATTCAAGCTGCAAAGTATTCTACCATATATTCATGCAAGCTAATAGCATCTAGAATGTAGAAACTTTGAGGGACATGAAGACTGAAGTACTGGGTTTAATTGAACTTGGCTAAATCAAAGGTATTGTAAATGTTCTCTGTCATAAGCGAGATTTCCATCGCTGTTGCCAACGTCATATAGTGTAAATATCACGTGCTGAAGTGAGGGCCACAAAGTAGTTCAGAAACCCGCTCGCTGAAATCGCGATTGCTTGTCATTTGCCAATGATATCTGTCCATGACCAAACCTTAAAAATGTTTCCTTTCTCTACATCTGTTTGAGAGAGGTCGGCAATAGTTCACAAGAAATTGCAAACCGAATGTTCTGGTGATCAGTTACTCGCCGTAAAAGCTGAAGAAGTGGGAAGATTGGTGGAATACCGATTAGCATTTGCAGGGAGTCATTCCTTATAGACATGAAATGCATTCCGTGCATTCTGCCTCTAGTTGCCATAGCAGTGGAATTAGTAACATGTGTAGGTATTCTTGACCAGGGCAGTTGGTCAGTGGGCAACGGCATCGAGTCCCGCCGCAGCAAAATCGAGCCGGTATGGAAAATATATATGTGAATCGCTTGCTAGTGAATAATCTGGCGACAATATCACTCTTCCTTTCGGGAAATATCACTAATAACGAGGAGCACGAAGATTTGGTCCTACGTTTTCCATTGGCAAGTTTGATGTGCGCGCTGCTATGATGGAAACGGTTCAGATAGTCTACCCTCCTCTTCTATTTATCGATTGTCTGGTAGGTGGTATTGAGTGTAATTCGTAGTAAATGGAAGAGATTTTGACCCTGGTGCCTCTTGGCAGTATGTAGTGCAGAAAGCCCTGGCAAACGTTAATAAAAATTTGACGTAACTCATTCTGCCATCTGACGAGTCAGTAAAAGAGTCTACACGAACGATCGTTGCCAGCACCATATCATAAGCGCTCAGTAGTGAAACTTATATTCAGAGTGCAGCCAAAGTTCTAACATAATATCTATTTCAGATTGAACGGTACATATTTGAAGCATTTTTTCCTCCGTAGCCGAGGTTGTTCAGTTTAGAATAATTGACTAGAGTTCCTATTTCTATTGTATTCTTGATGAGTTTCCCTAATTTCGAATTTAAAAAGTATTTTTAAAATGTAATTTTGTAAAGCGAGGCTCTTGTAACAAAGCTGATCATGAGTATCATATTTTAGTTTGGTCACGAAGTGGTTTGCTTCAACGTGTCTTCTTCGCTGGTTTACCAAGTTGCCGACCAAAAGCCGGCTCTTGTGACCCTGTACGATTATTATGAACCGGCTCACCGTGTAAGTAGTCCACATTTTTTATAGATGCTTATCGCATATGCGTGTCATTAAGCGTTGGTGTACATTTGCCAAGGAATTTGCTTCATTGGTTTAGGTTTTATGAGCATATGCAGTTCAGTGCTTGATCGACATGGTTAATCCCATGAACGCTTGTCATGGAGAAATATATATTGGATGAAAATATTCTTGATTCATATTTAAGCTTTAGTAAATGAATTAGGTTCAGACTTTACAAGTGAGGATCAAGAGATGCCTTTTGGACATTGCACCGAAAACGTCGTCATCTGAATTCATATCCATTCATGCTACCGGAGATGAAGCTAATCACGAGATACATCAATGTTGTTGTAGCTTGTTCGAACATGTCCATATGATATGAAGCGGTTTGACCCGTCTTTTCTCAGAGGCCACAGGTTGTTGGCACAGTGGTCTTAATTTAAACTGAACCGCAGCAGATGTTAGGGCATTTTATTGGTAATATTATTACTCGTCTCAGAATAACCATGCTCAACTACTTAGCATGACTATGACAAGAAACGATAGTAACAATGTCTTCCTGTGTCGGTTTAATCGCCGTCACAACGACGAATGATTCCGCCGTTGTCTTACTCGCTTTGTCCTCAAAGCAGACCACAGAATAGGTGAGCAAGATAGCTTTCGTGAACCGCTTCACTGATTGTTTAGAGTTAGAGTGAATGAGTCAATGAATGAATGAGTGAGTGAGTAAATGAGTGAATGAGTGAATTGAGAAAAAAATCGGCTGAATGAATAAATGACCTGATGCATTGTCATTCGCGGTCCGCTGTAAATATTAAGTGGCAGCTCAGCGAATTTGCACAGGGTCTGAGAAGCCATCATCGAATGTAAGTTTTTGTCCTTTGAGCTTGTGCTCTTGAATTTCATATGAAAATGAGAAGAAGAATGAACGAATGAATGAATAACGTCACTAATTCCCGAAGTCATGGCCATTGTTTCGTTATAGCAGCGGTCTACTACCAATCTTGGCAAAATTATGATATCTGTCTTCTATGAACTTTCACTGGTAAAGTAATCAATCACAACAGAGCCACTGTGATTGGATACATGACTTTCTAATGCGTACGCTTTTCGTCCTCATTTGATCTGCGTACCAAGGGTTGTATGAGTTAAATTTGTCATATCCACGAGACTGCAAGCGGTGTAGTATGACTATAGTCATGTTTCACTGATTCAGCAAAATTATCCTTAAGTTACACTAGGTCTAGCTCTTGGATGTCTTCTTTTAATCTTCTCTGTTTACCGGGTAGTGACCTTCATGACTGTTCCCGTAAAGCAGTTTAACCCGCCGGAGATATTAAACGTTTGCTACTGATCTATTTCAAACATGGAATTCGCCACTCTTGCTGCACAACGGGCATTATTATATTTTTAGTTTTTCTGTGATCTCAAGATCCCTCGTTATATTGCACACTGTGTGCCGCAAAGTTTTTATGAAATACTCATGCGCTTTTAGCAGGATCCCGGTCCCAATGCCTGCAGCAAAATCCGACTAATGCCACATGGACAGTAAGCTGTCACTGAGCTTGTTTCAAAATTTGCGGGATGTCCGTAAAAATTAGATCACAAAGGATTCGGATCTTAAGGAATTAAAAAAAAATAAGTTATCTCCAGTAATGCAGTTTCTAAGACGCCATTAACTGGGGCATTGGCGCAGTGGTAAGAAGTCGGATTCGAATTCCGAAGAGGAACGAAAAGTTTTCATAACCTCTAATTTCATTGAGTATGCACTTCACTCATCTTTGCTTTGGTTGAATAAGCTGAGAACTAGATAGCATGCTGTTGGTCGTATACATACCAAGGTCATCCTGGTGTTCTGGTGCGGTCAAATCAGAATGGACGTGAGGTATGGGCATGGCGACTGATGCGAACGCCTCTTTGAGCTGAAATTTGAGCTCGACCCATCTGACAGCTGACTCCGGTATGAAAATGAACAAAAGGTGACAATAATGTTGTTGTTGATGAAATCGCAAACAGAATTTGAGGTTATCCTCAAGGTTTAGCATCACCCAATATCGTGATCTTTGGCGGGAACTTGATGAAACGACACTTATCATCCTGACTGTATTTCTTTAGATCGAATTCGGATACTCGGCAAGTAAGAAGCTGAAGCTGGAAGACGTTTGCGGAGACGCGTGCTGGATGAACTTGAAATCATCTGCTTTGGTCGAACAGAAGTCGACGACTGCAGAAGGTAGTAGCGTTAGCGTTCAGTCTAACGGTCTGTGTCTCTGGCTGCTGTTTTGTATCGTATGGCAAACGTTTGCTTTTTTGTCTATGTGATTCTGTTTTTGTGAACCATGTAAATATTTAAA